CCGTACCCTGGCTGTAGTCCTTGCACAGGTTGCAAATGGTAAGGACGTCTATGGTCATTTCTAAGAACACGGTGAACATGGCTTGCTGAAATTCCCAAGGCACCAGAAACTCTCCTAACACTTGTGGTCGGATCTCTATCAAACTTACGCAGAATCATACGGGTAAATCTGCGCTGACGAACATTTATGTTTTGATCCCTTTGGAGATTTCCAAAACCATTTTCAATTATTTGGCGATGCACTCTTACAAATACTGAGCGAGTTGGATGTCGTCTGTTTGGAAATCCTCGTGCGTATTATCTGGCTGCTTCTGCTGCGTTTCCATTTACAAAGCCATACACAAAATGAATATCCGCTAACTCTTGATTGGAGAATAAAAATGGCATTTTTATAAAACTTACAAAAAAAAACAGGTAAAAGAAAACGGCTAACTATAACGAAGATTCACAAGAGAGCTTTTTTATGTTGAAAAGTGCGAAGAATCAGTATCATTGTTCGAAATATTTAAAAAAAAAACTATTTTAGAAAGTAAATTTAAACACCCTGTATTTCGGAAGCCACGCATTTTCCGACCCATGTTTATATAGACTTTTTGCATTAATTTTAAAAGTTCTATCGAATCTTAAAGTTATGCAACAATAAACTGAAACACCCTGTATAACATCCAAAAAATATATCTCATGTTCGAATTCGCAATTACAATACTTCCTCACCAGTAGGCGTGGGAAGTCAAAAGAGCGTTTTAATAACGAAAAAAATATCATTATCATGAAAATAATTTTGTGAATTTTATTGCCTCCACGGGAAGAAGGTTCTAGCGGCGGTTATAGTAGACTGATTTGAAAAAACACGAACATGACGTCGCGCCAGTTTAAGTCAAAGATGTTGGCCATTTTTGTGCACACTTTTGTTCCTCAAATGAACGAAAATGTAACAAAAATTCAACCAGCATTTGATGTTGATGGCATTGTTAGTTGACTGTTGACTATGAATATAGTGAATCTATTTGTATCCAATATATTCAATCAGGGTCATACAAGCTATTTTTGGAATAATTTCGATTCCAGTGTCGCATAATTTATTCAGATATACTCGGATTTAAATGTCTATTCTTTGGATGATAGTTCCCAGCCAAACTGGCTGAAAACGTTTGTGATTTTTCATAGAATTCTAAAGCTTTTTCTCATGGGTAAAAGATCCTAGCAAGAACTATTTACAATTTACAGGGTGTGCATTGTGCAACGTATAAATACTTGCTTAGCATACCAAATACGAATAAAATATCAATCTCGACATAAATAATCTAAATGGATTTTTGAACAGTTAGCGTTCTTGCACTAGGTTTTGTAATTACTTGAGAATATTACCATAATATCCTTAGAGATATCAGAAGATTTTTTAATAACTTGAAAGTTTTAAAGCTCTTACTGGTTCTTCAGTTAAATCAAAACTTTTATTCTTCAATTAATTCCTGTCTGTTTTTTAACGTGAAAGATGCTGCAGTTGAAATTTTAATTCCAGTTGAATAACAGATGATTGGAAGCCTTTATCAAATTTATTTTTATGAAAGGTAAGATGTGCTTAAAACGGGACAGATATAACAAGCAAAACATATTAAGAGTGCATGAAAAAGGTACTTCATTCGCACGCTGTATGAGAGTGAGATAAAAGCAACATAAAATAAATGAATGTTTTAATTTTATCAAATGTGGTAGTGCAAATTGGAAGTTAATGAGAGTAACAGTCCCAGAGTAAACAATCTGGAGAATACGTGTTTATAACACTGTATTTTTATACACTGTAATGTTCTTACCTTTATTCTACAGTGTACATTAACTTTGATGCATGATGCAAATTCCGTGTCGGATCTTACTCATTTCTGTCGGACGGCACACTAAATTCTAGATGCGGCCCTGGTTAGTATTTTTGTATTTGTAAAAATAGTGACACCAAAAGAAGAAAAATATTTTTTCCATTTTCAACCAGATGTTTTAATACAAAAATGTCGCTCCTTTGATTTCTTTCAAATTTTGACCAATCGGCCCGGAGAAACCGTACATGAATCGATCTGCCGTCGCGAGGGTTATTAGGGGTACATTGAAGTAAAAAAAAAACATTACCCTTCTCATTAGCAGTTCCAAAAATGCGGTCGCTTTTACAAAACAAGGCACAAACTAGCTTTTTTGACTTTCTTGAAATCAATACTGAAGAAAAAAAATTCCTCAAAGATTGCAATCATATCTTATAGCGCTTTTACTCCAGTTTTTGGAAATACCCTTATATTCTACGTGCGATCACTGGTTACTGAGATTTAAGTGGTCGATGACACAAGGATCCTTTTTCATTCAAAGTCAGATATCTCGCCAAATGATCGTATCGAGATTTTAAAAACAGGATATTCAAGCTGAATATATGGGCTATCTGATCCATATGATGACCTAACAGGAAAACATTTTTCAAGCCTGTGAACTAAAAAGGCAAAATATTTTCCTTGCGCCAGCTGTTAGAATTGCGTAAGAGCCGTTGCTCCCAAAATTTTTCAACGAAAAAACCGAAAAACTAGAACCAAAATACAACCTGTCTAAAATCACTGAAATATTTGGATTTTTTCCTTGCTCCCTCAATTTTTCTGATATCAATATGTCAGAAAAAGTATGTTAAAAAAATTAACAACTTTGTTAAGCTTGCAAAATTCAGATAAAATAAAATTTCTCAACTAACAATTAATTGAAGATGTTATGGAACTTAAGACAATAGAGGATGGATTATAACAGTACAAAAGAGTACACCAGCAATAAAAAATAAACTTGGTGAGTAGGATTATACTGTGTAGTTTCCAAAAATGTTGTGCAAAAAATTAATTAAACAGATTTACAGGACATGGTGAAGACAAAAACAATAACAGAACTCATGTTAAATACTTCTACGCTCTCTGTGATAGCTACCACATAATATGTTCTTTAAATATGTAATAAAACATTTATAATCTTAACATTTGACTTAAACATGAAAATGTAGTTCATTTATATATAGAGGGTTGTCCAATAGGGACGCAGGAAAGTAAACGTCAATTTGACATAGACGCCATCTTTGTTTTCGGTCACCGACATGTCATTTTGTTAGTTGAATGTTTACCATTGATCGCTATGGAGTCGTATTCGATTGAAGACCGCATTAAAGTTATTCAAGAGCACTACAAAAATGGTGCAAAAATAAAAAACACGTTTAGCGCGCTTCGTGAACATTTCGGTCGCAACAACCGCCCAAACGAAACAACCATCGGTCGTCTGGTGCGTAAATTCGAGGCAACAGGTTCTGTGGCAAATCTGTCAGGCTCTGGCCGGCCAAGGAGCATTCGCACACCGGAAAATATTGCTGTTGTGAAGGAGAGTGTGAGAGACGATCCGAAACAATCAACAACGCGTCGATCCCAAGAACTGGGCATTTCGAGAACCAGTTTGCTCCGCATTCTCCACAAGGATTTGAATGTACACCCCTACAAGATCCAGTTGACGCAAGAGCTGCGTCGGGCCGACCATTTTTCGCGCCGAACGTTCTCAGATTGGCTCCTTGAACACCGCCAAATTAATGCCAATTTTTCATCAATAATCATGTTCAGCGACGAAGCGCATTTCACTTTGAATGGGACGGTAAACAAGCAAAACTGCCGCATCTGGACGAACGAAAATCCCCGTGATAATCAAGAGCAGCCGATGCATCCTCAAAAAGTGACTGTTTGGTGTGCATTGTGGTCAAAAGGCATCATCGGACCTTACTTTTTCGAAAATGCGGCCGGGGACGCCGTTACCATCAATTCTGAGCGATATCACGTGATGATAGAGGACTATTTTTTGCCGCAACTTGAAGGAATGGATATGGACCATGTTTATTTCCAACAAAACAGTGCAACATGCCACACAACCAACGTCAATATCCATCGATTGCAGTCCTTCTTCGGAGATCGCGTGATTTCGCGCAGAGGAAATGTGCCATGGCCACCAAGATCGTCCGATTTGACTCCCTTGGACTTCTTTTTATGGGGATATTTGAAAAGCAAAGTCTACGTCAACAAACCAGCCACCCTCCTAGAACTCAAAAACAACATCATTGCCGAGATAAATGCCATAGAACCGACCATGTTGCAAAATGTCATTGAAAATTTCGACCATCGCGTGGACGTCTGTAAATCCAGTCGTGGTGAACATTTGAGCGATATTATTTTTCATACATAAATGGTATAAATGAACCTTCAAAATAAAGTACCCAACTTGATTTGAATATCAATCTTTCTTGTTTTAATATGCGTTTACTTTCCTGCGTCCGTTTTGGACAACCCCATAGATATGTACAATCTACTAACAAAAGTTAGTAAATTTTAATTTTTTTATTAACTAAATATATATCAAAAAAAAGCATAGTATAGGTGTGTTTTTACAAGATAGAAAAGTATCTAGCTTGGTTTCAAATAATGACACTTTCAGCATACATGTATTTTATACTAGATGTAAGTTTAAAAGTTGTACCAAAACTTCCAAAATTAAGAAAGAACATTTAGCAAGAAGTATTATGTTGAAGATATAATCTGCCTCTGTCTAGACATCAAGGAGAAGAGCCATGCAGTTATTGAAAAATAACAACTTGTTCCAAGGTTAGCGTTATGGTTGATATTTTATCAGCCTTTTTCAGGCTTTTGCCTGAGACATAAAAATAGGAACTTTTCCCTTCAGGGGACGAGGTTATGGTCATGGAAATTGGGTCCAATACAACTGCCATAATTGCCACCTGAATAGCTTAAGCCCCAACTTAGAAAATCTATTATGATACAAAAAACAAATTATTATCTGGTGCCTCCTAAAATCCCTTTAAATTAAATTTTTTTATATTTAATTTCCTCTCTAGGCTCTATATCACCTTTCCATAGATCTCCAACACCCCCCAAGGGGGAGTTATTGACCACTTTGACATTGACTGCATGCAAAATACTAAGAAAAACTTCTTACCCAAACACAGATTGGTTCCCGAATCATTACTGCAAATATATCTGAAACAAACTGTCCAAATGACTTGCTGTCCGTACTAGAAGCATTCCTGGGCACTGGTAGCAAATTGCTCTTTCCATCAACCTCTGTCATTTTATTCCAATTAGGATCCTTGATCACCTGGGTGGCATAGTAGATACACATGGAAAGAGCCACAACACTTATCATAGAGTATGCCCTCAAATTAGGCAGGGGCAACCTGTCTAGAGGCACCGCCGGCATGATGGATATTTTTCGCTTATGTAAACTTTCAAATTCAGTATATTCTCACGATGTGTTGATGGTACTTCCTCCTTGTTGAGAGATCTGGGCTTTCCGTTCGGATTGAACCAGAAAAAGTTGACATCATGCGGCTTACTGCCGATAAAAAGAAAGTGTAAGGTCTAGCTATGGTTTTGCATATGCAACTTGCACTCGAAAACTGCTGGAATATGCGATAATCCGAATGACACTGCACTGATAAATGTACTAAACCGTAAGCGGTGAACGAGATCGTGCTCCTTTTACTTGGCCGTGTGGTTATCACGTAACGTCAGATTAATTTGTTTTGGAAATGTTGAGAAACGTCAAGTATCGATCGCCAAATGCCAAAAACAAACAGGTTTTGTTGCCAACTTTAGAATCTGGGGATACGCAGTGCACGTTCAACACACATAAAATGTTGCGTAACTACTTTCTTTACATAGTCTAGATAAACGTTCATATAGAGACGATTCGAAAAATACTAAGAATTTCTGATGTAAGTGCACGTTTACATCAAACGCGCTTCGCTTGGAGCTGTGCGCTTTGCTTTACAGCCCAGTAGGAAGCGAGAGGAACGACAACACAGCTTTAAATGAATGTGTTCAGACCGCGCGCATGGCGCTACGCGCTGTGCCTTACGTTATACTATGCGGAGCGGTGGAAAACGCGATGTGTTGGTTTTGCGTTGCGTTTTGCCTCGCTTGTTCAGACAACTCCGAGGGTTATCTGCATAAACACAATGGAAGAAGAAATTATCACCGCCGTTTTTAAACGAGAGGCAATATGGAATCCGAAGCATGCGTTGCATAAAAATGTATACGCGTTACAAAAAATGTGGAAAGAAATAGGAGACGAAGTTGGAAAAGATGGTGAGTTCATATTATGTTTTAACTAGGGATGGATATAATATATCAACTTTTAGAATGTGTCGATGTCTTCTTTTTGTTGTCCGTATTTTTGCATCGGTTTTGGTTTCCATGTATAGGGGCGTATTCGTGTTTTTATTCTATGTATAAGTGGTTTGCGATACGTCATCTGTATAAACCATCGTGTGTATGAGGTAGTAGCAGTTTTAATTTTTAAGGCAGAGTAGTTAAAGAACAAAATAATTAGGGAATAGAAACTCAAAGATAATACTATATAATACATTTATTGTACGAAAGAAAATTGATTCTGCCACTCAACTGCACCAGTAGTCACAAAATAATTTGTTAATATTTCTCTGGTTCTCTTTGCATCTTCGGAAAAGCGATACTGGGAGTGTGTGTAGGTACTCGGATTAATATCGCCGCTAAAGCCCGTCTGACATTCCTTATTTGTCTTAAATCCCTCCTGTTCTATAACAAAATTGTGCAAAATACAAATGGCCTTTACAATATTTATAGCTGTCTCAATTTTTGTTTCGATAGGTTTTAGTAAAATTCGCCATTTGCCACTCATTATGCCAAATGCGCATTCAGCACATCGCCGGGCTCTGGAGAGACGATAATTAAAAATTCTTTTTGAATTATCTAAATTTCTTCTAGGATATGGCCTCATTAGGTATGGAAGCAGAGGGTAAGCTTCATCGCCTACTATAACCAATGGGGCTTTTATATTTGTTTGTGGTAAGCATTGATCAGGTGGGACGTCAAGCTCTTTTCTGTCTAATGCTCGAAAAAGCGACGAGGACCTAAAATTTCCTCCATCGCTTTGGCGTCCAAAACTCCCAATATCAACCGCAATTAATTTACAGTCAGCATCAACTAGGGCTTGAAGTAATATTGAAAAATATTGCTTATAATTATAGTATAGAGATCCGGTATTGGAGGGACATTTAACTTCAATATGTTTGCCGTCAATACTGCCTATGCAATTTGGAAAATTCCATTTGGTCCAATATTGTTGTGATTTATTGTGCCACGTTGCTTGTGTAGGTTTTGGTAGGTAATCACTTTTCATGGTATCCCATATTACCATGCATGTATGATTTACAATATTTGAAACTGTTGCCACCCCCAATCTGAAGTGTAGAGCTAGGGATCGATAGGATTCTCCAGTAGCAAGAAATCTGCAACAAACATACATAAAATATGCTTGGTGTTAATAGCAATTTTTGTTTCAGTTCAAACTGTTAAAAATAAATGGAAATACTTGAGGGACTACTTTAACAGAGAAACAAAAAAGTTAGAAAAACCCAGATCAGGCAGTGGAGCAAATGAAGCTGTAGCAAGTCCTTGGCAATATTATTCTCTTTTGTTATTTTTAAAAGACCATCTGCAAACCCCACTGAGGGATGCAAATATAGAAGCGGAAAGGGTCACAGAAGATATTGACTTAGAATATAATGATATACAGGACGTAGAGTCGCAAGATTCTGACAATGTTTTGTCACCGCCATCGACCAGCAGTCAAGCACCTTCAAGGTCTGCAAGCCGATTATCTTCTACTTCTGAAACTCGGAAGGGGGCGCAGAAGCGAAAGAAGCAACTGGCAACAGAAAACGACAATAGCGAACTAATAATGTTAGAAAAACGGAAACTTGAGCTCCTAGAGTCTGAATCACTTAAAGAAAATGATGATGATCTTTTGTTCCTAAAGAGTCTTTTGCCATACATGAAGAGTCTTCCTGCTTCAAGAAGATTACGTCTAAGATTAAAGTTTCAGGAACTGCTTCTTCAGCAAGTTGAGGAGCATGAAAGTGAAGTTTCACAAAATGTTTGTGGACAACCTCCGGCACGTGTCTTTACCTTCCCCGCTCCCTCAAGTTCCGCTTCGGACAATCATACATACCATCATCACATACCGATACAGTCAACACATCCGGATCCGACCACACACAATGTATCTGAAGGTAGTGAATTGGACACCCCTATGCGAAGTTTTTTTTCAGGATATAACGCGTAACATTTTTATTCGGACAAATGTATTTTTTAATAAAATAAAACTCAGTTTTTCATAAACACTATAATTTTATTTTGGCTTACCTCAATGTTATAACCAAACGTTGTTCTGCTGAAATCCTTTCACGGAAATTGGTTCCAATCCCACATAAATAAGGATCCAAATGGCTTAGGAGAAGGTCGAAAGATTCCTTTGACATCCTCAAGTATTCATAAAATTTTTCTGGATATTTTCTGGCATCTCGATAGAGGTGATAGAATTCTCCGAACGATTTCCTACATATATTAATCTCATGCACCCACGATCGTTTTAGTTTTTTTCTATTCACTTTCAACGCAATACTTTCGAGTAGTAATATCTTCTTAACTCGTGAAGGAGCCATGGTGAAATGCTTGGAAAATGCGTCTTTAAATATAAAGTGTGTTTTAATAACAGTCGAGGTATGAAAAGCGAAGCGCCTCCGATATGAATGAACCCGAACGCATAGAGGTTCGCTTGACATGAAGTGAGGCGCACAGCTCCAAGCGAAGCGCGCTCGATGTAAACGTGCCCTTAGTGTTGTTGTCTGTAAGTTTGAAGACACGTGATTTTGAGATTAGTTATTTTAGAAAACAGTTGAATGTTGGGCAATAGTTGCGATGTTGCCAGTGTGATGCAAACACATTTCTAGATATCTTTAGGCTTGCGAAGAATGATCATGCAGTTGATACACTATACGTAAATCAGAAGATGTGACCCCAGAATAGATAAAAATTGCGTTTCAAAAATAATTACGTTCTAACCGCCTACTCTTCAACTATACAGGGGCCCCCCACTCCATTCAATGGACGCCCACAGGAATTTTTCTCAGTGGGATCATCGGCAACAGATAACCTTTTGTGACAGTATACCTGACACAAAAGTTTTTGAAGAGTGACGGGTTGCAAATTTTCCCAGAGGACTCCAAATCCTTCAAGTTATAAACAAAATCCTACTAAAAATGCAAATTTTAAGGTCCAATCAGATTATCAGAGGTCCCTGGCCGCTTTTGTGGGTCCACATGCTCCCTTCACGAAAATTGTGCTTCGGGCCCCAGAGACCTTATATAAGATCCGCAACTGCTACACATTTTGGGTCAATATGTACCAATAAATAACAATGTGTTTGTGTATTAGACGCTACAGTTGACGAACTGGCAAATACCGGTCAATCAACTTGAAAAAGGCAAACATATACAAAAAAGTATATATTTTTTAGCATATACGTACATACATTGATTTAGCACTCCTACAATATCGCTCCAACTGCCATTGATGCATGGTACATGCTACAGGCTACAGGTATCAGAGGACTGGAAGCACTTTCATCAGATTGGCGACTATCAAAATGAAATCATTTCTCAGACTTGTAATCGACATTGTGGTTTTTGGAGGAAATTTTATTTTATCACGCTTATTTGCGCTACTATTAGATACATATACAGAAACAAATGGTTACGCTTGCTATTTATTGTTCACTATCGACATGAATCTGCTGACAACTAGCTTAACCTATTTCACATACGTGACCTCTGTCAATGAATCTGAAGGTTTTGAAAACTTTTGAGCAAACTATTCCAACGAACTCAAATATGTTAGAGGGAACCAAGCCTGTATGTCTACATTGCATTGTTTGTCGCGAAAATTACGTAGTTTTAGTGCATACTTTTTACTAATTTGACTATCACTGCTTACAAAAGTGACAACGTTGTATCACAGCATATAACACAGTATGTTATAAATTGTATTGTTTTTTTATATATTTGCCTTTGCCATAAGATATCTCGGTAACTACTGATTTGCACAATTAACAAAATTAAGCTTATTTTTAATGCCTAATATATTATGAAATTATGAAAAGATGATAATCTCCATTTTTAAAATTTGTCATCTGCCATATTTCATTGTAGGTATCTACTTATCGGCATTGAGGTGAACTGCGTAAAATTGAACCATCGTGAAGAGGAAGCTTAAGGAAGGCTGCAGAGATACACGACTGGCGACGCTGATTGGTCAAATATGTAATTTGATGCCACGAAAAATTTAATTTTCCCTTTTGTTGCTAAACTAAATCGTGTGATCTTCTGCGTAGTACTCTAAAAGCTAAATATCTATGAGAGGACACACATGTTACTGACAATAACTTCTGTTTTCATAAGCCACTTTACATATACAACTTTATGACAACGTTTTGTATCACAGCAGCAGGTATGTTATAAATTGTATTAAGTTTTTCTATATATTTGCCTTTGCCATAAGATATCTCGGGAACTACTGATTTGCACAATTAAAAAAATTAAGCTTATTTTTAATGCCCAATATATTATGAAATTGTGAAAAGATGATAATCTCCATTTTTTAAATTTGAAATCTGCCAAATTTCATTGTCTCTACTTATCGGCAGTGAGGTGAACTGCGTAAAATTGAACCATTGTGAAGCTTAAGGGAGGCTGCAGAGACATACGACTGACGACGCTGATTGGTCAAATATGTAATTTGATGTTACGAAAAATTTAATTTTCCATTTTGTTGCTAAACTAAATCCTGTGATCTTCTGCGTCCCTAAAAGTTAATCATCTATGAGATGACACACATGTTATTGACAATAAGTTCTGTTTTCATAAACCACTTTACATATACATTTTTATGAAAACCGAAGTTATGTATGTCATCTCATAGCTATTTAACTTTTCGGTCGCTATGTTCCGTTTAGTAATAAAGAGAAGGGTATGCTTGAAATTCAAATTGTGTCTATCCTCAAATTGCTTATTTGACCAACCGCCGTTATCAGTCATATCTATGCAGCCTCCCCTTAAAGCTCAATATTGGTTCATGTTGTGGCACATTCTCAGAATAAAATTAGACGTGACAACGCATTATATTCTTACGTAACGGCTAGTGTGACAAGCACGTGACAAGTGTCAAAAATAAACTGACAATTCGTTGTTGTATACTGGTACTGGTCAGTTGGCAGACCTGCAAAATCAGTAGAATGTCAGCGCTGTTCGGTTAGGTGTTTTTAGGAATTTCTAAAGGAAAAATACAATTTAATTGTGATCATTTCACGTCCCCCAGCAAATAAATCTGTAGGAGAATGTGTAAAAGTAGTACAATCTAATATGATACAAATTCGCAACTGGTTTTGCTGTGATTATTGTGTGTTTTTGCAGGGATATAGGATTGGGGTGAGTACAACTTTATTTACTAATTTTGCGATGTGACCTAATACAGATTTGCATAAATGATTATTAGTCAACGAAAGTAAAAATAAATCCTATGTATTAAAATTTATAGTACTTCATCAACAACCTTGAACAAAAATCGGTATGATTAACCTAAATTGCTATGTAGGACTGCTTATTTTCTCATTTGAATTAACATCTAAACTTGTAAAGAAGCACTGTTTTGCATTATTGTGTTACTAGCTCGACACTGATAATAATATTCCTTCAATGCCAAACACTGGTGACAAAGGTGAGCTATAGAATGGTATTCATAATCAGTACCTACCGTTGATCAGTAACATGCAGTTGTACTTTTAAATTTCAGTGAGCAAGTATGGCTACAAGTGATAATAGGAAAAGCCCTCAATTGGGCAAAATCAAGCTGAAAATAGGAAACAGCACTGTAACTGCTAGTGACTCTGATGCAAGTGTTGACACTAACAGCTTGAGTGCTGAGAGTGTCACTGAACAAAATCAGCAGAGAAATGTTGAGAAAAGGAGGAAGAAAAACCGTAGGGGCTCTGAATGGGAGATCATGGCTGGGTTGAAAGATGGTCAACGTTTTGAAAATAAACCTAACCCTTTCAATGGATATCTGCATAAGAAAAGGAAGTGGCCCCTAAAAGGATGGCATAAGGTATGTCTATTTTAAGATAAAATTATGTGTATACTGCAATAGCTATTACTATAGATTCTCACACAGATATGGCAAACATCCAAATTTCCTTGGACTTGACCTGCTTTAAAATTATCTTGCGTATTCAGCATTCTTGTAATATATTAATTGCCATTTAAATACTATGCATTCTTTGCATTTATCTTATACCTTTCAAATCTTTAGCAATTTTAAATCTATCATAACATGAATAATATGATGATAATGAGATAGGTGAAATGACATTGAATTTATGAAGCTTTTATTATATTTGTTATGCAACATTGATCTCATAATTCATTGTTACTTAGAACAGTTTTTTTAGTCTAGAACATCTCTTGGTGCCATGCTTAGAAAATGCCTTGAATCATTGTATGAAATGATTTTTTTTTTGTAAGATATAATTAATAATTGGAATGGTTAAAAATAATGTTCGTATTAATACTAAAAGCCTTTTTCAGTAAAAGTTTGTACACTTGTCATAATGTCCTTCTAAAGTAATACATAAATTATTTCACTCTTATTTATCACTTAATATCATCCAAAGTCATATCAAATTTAAGAATATCTGCTGAATGTCATGTCATTTTTTCTTTAACAGATGTGGAAACATCATGAAATATTGTGTTTATTGTCCTGAGTTTGTATTATTATTTCTATCTGTTGCAAGCAACTACATGAAACAAGTTTTTTCAGTTTGAATCTAACCATCAGTTGGCCTATATTGCCATATGGGTATATTGTCCAATTCAAATATCTTACAGTATTGGTCAATCCCTAGTTTAAATACCCTGAAAACAACTATATTTAAAAATGCAAAATAATTGCTTTTTTGAGTATTTAGTTTAGTTACATGAAACTAAGAATAAATTTTACTTAATAATGGATTATATTTGTTCTTTGCCCTAACTTCACTTTGCAAATAAAATTTTACTTCAGTATATCAATAATAATTTTGAGATATTTCAAAATATTTGTTGGTCTTCATTCTATGTGATATAAATTCTTTATTACAGCTCTCCTAGTTATCATATTTTATAATAATTTAACTAATAAAGTGGCAGAATTGTGCAACATCAATCATCCAGTTGGAAGTAGCATTTAGCTTAAATTGCAAATTACTCTCCATCACTATGTCTGGTTTGGTCTACTTATATCTTGCCATGTTGACATAACATTTTACATATTTTACATGCATTTTATAGTTTACTACTAACGAAATTGTTAGCTTTTTTGAAAAACTGCAGAGGGGAAAGTAAAATAATAAAGTACACTTAAATACACTTTATTGACTGTCTCTGGACATACCTGAATATGAACAGTTTAATCCAAAAAAGTCTATAGTCGTTTCAAATCAAATGATGAATGTGGGCCTGAAACATAAAACCATATTTCTATTAATCAATAAATGTGTCAACAGACATTGTCTCAATATGTATACTGGATCACAGGTACAATATAATTAAAGTAGGAATATATACATAAGTATATATAAGCACTTAATTGTTACTTATGATTTACTGTTAATTATTAGATATTTGTATTGCATATCTGTAATCACACGTACAGAGTGTATACTGTACTTGGAATTGATGATATCATTTTTGTTACAGAGTATTTCTAATCTTGAGCAATAAATATATTTTTTGGAGGTTCGAATATACTGAAATTCATTTATGTTTGATCTGATTCTAGATAAGTTAAACATACCTAAAAATATTTTTTGAGAACTCAGATTACTTTGATCAATGCCTAAATCCATATGTTTTATAATATTTCGTACTTAATAAAACTTAAAAAGTGAACAATCTCAGGGTCATGCCATCTAGGCTCAAAAAGAATTCCAATTGGGCCAACTTGACGATGCAAATAAAACGACTTCTCCAGTGTTCTATTGTGAATCTTAAAAAAAATGGCGTCAAGTAAGTTGACTCTGCACTATCCCCATCATCAGTTCATTTTCAGCACAAGTTAGACCCTCTGAGAAAAAAGCTAGTTATGGACATGTATGTTCGGTTAGTCCACAGACATCATTTTCTTGCCCTATTGGTAGTACTGTCGATCTGACAACGTTGCCGATCTCCCACATCTGGCCGTACGACGCAGCAGCGCGGCAGTAATGACAGGACACTCAATGAGTCTGGTACGCCCGCCGGTAAACCCACAGCGCAGATGCAGAGACGCGAATCGAAAACAGTTTTCTATCATTCTAAGAGTCAGGAGCAAATGTACAGGAAATCATTGAGGTACATTGCCCCCCCCCTAAAACCTCCAACCCCCAACTTTTACGCACTACAAGACATTTTCTGGAAATGATCGGGAGCCTCAGAAATGTCCAAAAACTAAGTCTGAGGGATTACTATTTTTTTTGTGTTTGTTTTAGGGAGATACTATAGTTGAAAATACAGCTAGTTTCACTTGCATATAATGGTGTAAGTGGTATCTTCACAAATCTGAATTATTCCGATGATTTGCAATTTAAGGAAGTTACGACACTTTCCCTGTTGATTGCTGTAGCCGATCGCCCTCGTGCGTCGAGGTTGGGGCGTGACTTCACATGACATAAGTGGCTTCTGGGCCACGGTACTGACGCGGCTAGACGACGTGACGGCTCTTGCATACCTATCGCATCCATACTTAGCAGTCAAACTGACCAGTCGGAATAAGTTGGTCATATCTTGGCATAGTCTGCTGTACGATATTATAGATATACAAAAAATAAAATGGAAGGTTTTTTGTGCCAATACATACATAATTAGAGAATTATCCTACTACTACATACTATGCCAAAAATTTTTGCTCTGGCACGCATCAACATTTTTAATTAAGCTCACACTTAATCGACGCCACAGTAGTTCAAAAGTAAAATATGGTCAGAATTAGAAAGAATAAAAAGACTAATTTTCACAAAAAAAATCATTTTCTACATTTTCGAGGTTGCTAATAACTAATATGATATCCATTTGTCAAAGATCGAAATGAAGGGTTCAATACGGTGTACATCTTAGCAAAAAAAATATTGTTTTTAAATTTCATGTTGTTTGGTATTTTCAGGGTCGATTATAACGAATTTGATATCGATTGTTTAAAAATCGAAATAGCGGTTCTAATAAGGCGGCTATGTTTGCAAAAAGTGTTTTGATCTTGCTCAAAGTTGAGTTTCAACTGATTAAATATCGATTCTTAAAAAATATAAATCTAAATAATTATACTCTATAAATTCAAGTAATATAAAACGAATAAATAAATATAATTCATCCAAAGAAGCACAATGCCTGTGCATGGATCAATTCTAAGTTGAATTGCAATACATAAAAAGAGAAAGAACAGAAATAGAAAAAGATTATTTGAGATTATTCCATGAATGTTGTTTCTTTCAAGCGTGTTAATCTTTTTCTTTGAATTTTTTTGAGGCCTTATGTTTTTATTGTTTTAAATCATTTGGTAAATGTTCATACAATTTTGGAGCTAAATATAGGTGAGATCGTTTCATTACAGCTTTGCCTGATTTAGGAACATTTTCTGCGCGTAATTTATATAGGAGGGTTATGACTATAATAATAATAATAATAATGCCCAACTGAAATTGATTCCATTTACAAGACAAACTATGAACTCACAAAAATAATATGACTACGTATCTAAAAAACAAGAAGATAAGAAAAAGAAGCGATTACATAATGTTATAATCAATAAATCATAATTAATAATTCATCTGAGCATATCGTTCAGCTGATTTATTCAACAAAAAGACCAGTCAATCAACATTGACATCACAGACGTCACTGATAATATTGAAATTAGATTGCATGTAAGACAATGGAGAATTTAATCCTAAATTTTTATTGCAGAGATCTAACTTGAAGTATGGGTAAGATCTAAGCCTGAATAGCGGTGCATTGAAATTTAACTGTGATAATAGGTACATACTAGCTATTGCTATGCAACAGTTTATGTAAAAATATTGAGGAAAATTGAATTCGCCTCTAAGGAGTGACCAACTAAACCTATAACGCAGATGAACCTCAGAAATGCCCGTTGTAGGATATAAACCATCACATGTTTGTGCCGCGTTTACAAATAATATTTGCAAAAATTGCGATTTCATTCAAATTACCGTTTTATATGTTTTCAAGGTATACTGTCAGTTGAAGCCAAAATTGACATATTTCTCAACTGGGTGTCTGACAAACATGCTAGTATTTGAAATAGACTCTGATGGATTTTTTTAAATTTTTTGGATTCACTATGAATTACGAAAAACGTATCATTTATTTATTATTGATTTACATAATTTTGTCATATAGTGTCATGTGTCGATTGGCAAGTGATACAATGTCATATAATTATTGTATATAATTATAACTATACATATCTTCGACTCTGCAATCCATTTTTCCACATCTCAATATAGCTGATTATTTTAAAACGTGACAGTACAAATGTTTAGCACTTTTGCTTTCTGAACCACGCCTATGCATCTCCACGTCGACACAGACAGGGCTCAACGAGTATTCCCCCTCCATCCATGATCACTATAACAATTTTCTCATTGTCTCGAAATCAACGCAATAATCAAATCTATTCCCGTTCTCGTTTACATCAATCAAGTTAGGCACATACACTAATATTTATTTTAACCCGTTTTACCATATGAACTAAATACCTACTGACATCTTAAAATTATATTTACAAGCAGCACAATGTTATTTCCCTGCACCACTTATTTCAATTCTTCCATGTTTTCGCACAGGTTAAAAGTGTTTTTTGGAACTGATGTGCCGGTATTAGTACACCTAGATACAATAGATTATTTGTAAGTCGAAGATCTGACCTATTTTTGCCCATTTTTACCGTAAATCGTAAATACGGGGCAGAACCACGTTTGTAAATAGCACGAAGCTTACGCATAGTTTTGTGATGGCGATGGTAGCTGGTGTAATGTGACGTCATCATTCAGCCACAGGCTCCAGTAAGATAAG